TTTTTTTTTATTTTTTTGAGACAGTCTTACTCTGTCACCCAGGCTGGAGGTGCCATCTCAGCTCATTGCAACCTCCACCTCCCAGGTTCAAGCGATTCTCTTGCTTCAGCTTCCCAAGTACCTGAGACTACAGACATGCATCACCACGCCCAGCTAATTTTTGTATTTTTAGTGGAGATAGGGTTTCACCATGATGGCCAAGCTGATCTCGAACTCCTGACCTCAAGTGGTCCGCCTGCCTCAGCGTTCCAAAGCTCTGGGATTACAGGCATGAGCCATCACAACTGACAATGCTTGGTGAATCTAAATGATAGGTATATAGAAATCCATTGTATTATTTCTTCAACTTTCCCACAGATTTAACATTTTTCCAAAAATAAATTGGGGTAAAAATTCCTGTATCAGTAAAATGAATAAAAAACGTCTATAGGAAAGTCCAAAATCATCAATAATTTATATGTGGATTTTTTTCACAATTCTTTAACAATAGCACATTGCATCACAGAGTACAAGCTGAAAGAGACTGGGGACTTTAGGCCAGTCATCTTTTGAATCATTTTAATTACATAGGTGATATATGATCATATTAGCAGAAGTAGAAAAGGCAGATAAACACCAAGAAAAAAATTAAAACAATATGTAATTTTACCTCCTAGAGATTTCATACAGTCATGTATCACAATAATGTTTCGGTCAAAGACAGATTGCAAATATAACAGTGGTCCCGTAAGAATATAATACCACATTTTTATTCTACTCTTTCTATGTCGAGATGCACAAATGCTTAACAAACACTTGATGTGTTACAATTGCCTGTAGTATTCTATACAGCAACATGATATCCAGGTTTGTAGCCTAGGTGTGTAGTAGGCTATACCACCTAGGTCTGTGTGAGTACACTCCACGATGTTCATATGACAATGAAATTGACTAATCACACATTTCTCAGAACAAATCCCTGCTGTTAAACAACACGACTGTATTTTGGTATAAATTTTTTCCGAATCATTTCTATTCATATATATGCACACATAAATACATACTGTAGTTGGTTTTGGTTTTTTTTTTGAGGCGGAGTCTTGCTCTGTCACCCAGGTTGGAGTGCAGAGGCGTGATGTCGGCTCACTGCAACCTCCGCCTCCCAGGTTCAAGCAATTCTCCTGCCTCAACTTCTCTGAGTAGCTGGGACTACAGGCGTGTGCCACCACACCCGACTAATTTTTCGTATTTTTAGTCTAGACGGGGTTTCCCCATGTTAGCCAGGATGGTCTCAATCTCCTGACTTTGTGATCTGCCCGCCTCAGCCTCCCAAAGTGCTGGGATTACAGGCATGAGCCACCACGCCTGACCCAAATACATACTATTTTTTTACAGAATTGTGAACATGTTGGATAAAATATTTTAGAGCTTGCTTTCTTGCAGTGACATCTGGAAGTATTTTTCATGTCAATAAGTACATTTTTATGCCAATATTTTTAATGGTTGCATAGTTCTTTATCATCCAGATTTATAAACTTTACTAATACTTTACTCTAGAATATTTATATAATTTTCAGTTTTTCACTATTTTCATGATATAGAAAAATATAACTTATAAAAACTAAAAACTAAAATCCCTAATATTCTTTTTTTTGTTGTTTTTTTTTTGGAGACAGAGTCTCCCTCTGTCACCTAGGCTGGAGTGGAGCGGCACAATCTCGGCTCACTGCAACCTTCACCTCCCAGGTTCAAGCAAGTCTGCCTCAGCCTCCCGAGTATCTGGAACTACAGGCATATGCCACCATGTCCAGCTAATTTTTTCTTTTGTATTTTAGTAGAAATGGGATTTCACCATGTTGCCCAGGCTGGTCTCGAACTCCTGAGCTCAGGCAATCTGCCCACCTCGGCCTCTCAAAGAGCTGGAATTACAGGCGTGAGCCACCGTACCCCACCAGCCTTGTATTGTTTAACTCAGTTTGACTAATAAAAGTCATGGCTGAATTTCAATTCTGTAGACTTTTAATTGACAGTTGTTAGCAAGGAATCTTGGATTGGTAAGAGACTGCTGATTTGCCTGTTAGAAGGAATGAAAGCATCAAGTTATAAAGCTTAGGTCAGAGACCACTACTTGTCTCCCAATACTCATTCTCCCTTTCTTCCATAGAAATAGAATTTGTATTAAGCACATAGCTGCCGACCTAAGGACTCTTTCCCAGTTTCTTTTACAGCTAGGTATGATCATTTAGCTGAACTCTAGCTGATGAATGTGAGCAAACATCATGGTGCTACTTCCAGATGGTGCCCGTAAAAGGAATAGGTGACCATTACACTTTTTCCTCATTCCTGCTGTCTGGAATGCAAATTCAATAGCAGGAACTGGAGCAGCCTCTTGAATCAGAAAATAAAAACCACAGGTCAAGAACAGTCCGTAATGATTATGAAACTACTGTACTTAGTAGTTTACTAAGACTTAGACTACCTACCTGTTCTTTTAATGTAAGAAAAATAAACTATTTTTTCTGGGTTTTTCCACTGGAACAATCAAACCTGTACCACAACTTAGAGCTTGATTCTCCTAGTTAGGTAGAGATGTCTGCAAGACTTGCAGATACTAAGAATATAAAGCCTATTCATGTTGGGATGAAGACCCTTTGAGTTAGGGTTATAATTGTTCTATATTTTTCATCATAGGAAAGACTTAGGTGGTTTTTAAGGAATTTTTTATTTGTTTTGAGATGGAGTCTCGCTCTGTTGTCCAGGCTGGAGTGCAGTAGTGCGATCATGGCTTGCTGCAACGTCTGCCTCCCAGGTTCAAGTAATTCTCTGCCTCAGCCTCCTGAGTACCTGGGATTATAGGTGCCTGCTACCACGCGCAGCTAATATTTTGTATTTACACTAGAGATGAGGTTTCGGTTTCACCATCTTGGTCAGGCTGGTCTTGAACTCCTGACCTCATGATTCACCTGCCTCGGCCTCCCAAACTGCTGGGATTATAGGTGTGAGTCATCACACCCAGCTAATTCATTTCTTAAAAACAAAATGAGGGTGAGAGTTTTTCCCAATTTTATGAACAACTTTATAGCTAAATTTATGTACAGATCATTAATAATTTTCTCATAATAAATTCCAAGAAACAAAATGATGTGATTGAAGGATATCCACATTTTATAAACATTGCCTATACTGAAATGTACCAATTTACATTCCTATGTTGTAAGTGAGGAAATCTAGGCAATAAATGTTAATGACATGGGGCTTCTGAATCTCTAACAGGATTCTGAGATCTCTAAATAAAAATATGTTGGCTTGTGGATACTGATGGTACTTGCCTGCTTTGCACATGTAGAAGGTTCCTGTCAGGTTGGTCTCAACCACAGCATTCCATCCCTTAGAACTGATGTGTTCAGCAGGGGAAAGAAACTGGCCTCCTCCATTGTTTACCAAGAAATTGATCTTACCATAAATATCTAAGGTAGATTTGACCAAATTATTCACCTAAAGAAGAACATTGGTTGTGTTAGAAACATTCCAAAAAAAAAAAAAAAAAGAAGAAGAATATTGGAAGTTATTAAAAGTAAAAGATTAGCCGGGCACGGTGGCTCACGCCTGTAATCCCAACACTTTGGGAGGCCGAGGCAGGTGGATCACGAGGTCAAGAGATCGAGACCATCCTGGTCAACTTGGTGAAACCCCGTCTCTACTAAAAATACAAAAAATGAGCTGGGCATGGTGGCGCGTGCCTGTAATCCCAGTTACTCGGGGGCTGAGGCAGGAGAATTGCCTGAACCCAGGAGGCAGAGGTTGCGGCGAGCTGAGATTGCGCCATTGCACTCCAGCCTCGGTAACAAGAGCGAAACTCCGTCTCAAAAAAAAAAAAAAAGTAAAAGATTAATAGCCTAACTTGTTACCTCACCTGATTGCTTGCTCTAGACAGGGATTGCAGTCTCTCACAGTGTACAGTAACTCCAAGTACCACAACGAATGAATATGCAGCAATGAATAAACCTAAAAATTCTACACCAATTAGTAATGTACCAGCATCCAATACCCACAGATCACGATGCTAAAATTGTAATTTGATGACAAGATATATCCAATGGCCTGGAACACCCTTAAGTAGGGCAGGCCTCAGTTATATATTACTTTGTAAGCTACCAACACAGAATAAACAGTGATGAAATCAGATTAAAATAAACATTAAAAAAAAAAATGACTCAAAGGGCCAGGCATGGTGGCTCACGCCTATAATCCTAGCACTTTGAAAGGCCAAGGCAGGTGGATCACCTGAGGTCAGGAGTTTGAGACCAGCTTGGTCAACACGGTGAAACCCTGTCTTTACGAAAAATACAGAAACTAGCTGGGCATGGTGGCACGCACCTATAGTCCCAGGTACTCAGGAGGCTGAGGCAAAAGAATCACTTGAACCCAGGAAATGGAGGTTGCAGTGAGCCTATATTGCACCACTGCACTTCAGCCTGGGAAACAGAGTAAGACTCTGTCTCAAAAAAAAAAAAAAAGACTTAAAGGGCAAAAGTCCGTCTCTGGCTGAGACCACATTCTTGCTTCTCTTCCTCTCCTTCTCCAAGGGTCACTGGCTCAGTAAATCATTAACGTGAGAATCTCCTCCCCAGCTTCTGCTTCTAGTGAACCTCATCTAAGACAGCTACCATAGGAGAACCTGAAGCAAAGCCAGGTTTAAGAACCACTACTGCAAACTACAATGAATGAATAAACGATATAGATATATCTGCATTACCTCCTCTTCTTTCCGGATGTTGCATTGTATGGGAATGACTTGCGCCTGGCTTGTGGGAGGTAGGCTGGCCTTCAGTTCATCTGCCACAGATTTCAGTCTCTCAAATTTACGGGATGCAATGACCACATTACTCCCTGAGGAGAATCAGCCAGAGAGCAAGTAAATAAACCTTCATGGGACACCATGAACACATCATACCTTGAGAAGTAAATAGCCAGGGAACAAAAAAATGTGACTTCACGAGTTGTCCAAATTCCATCAATAATTCTTTTTTTTTTTTTAGAACGGGGGTGTTGCTTTATTGCCCAGGGTAGAATGCAGTCTAAAAATGGGTATGCCTGTAAATGTGTTTAATTATAGAGACATGAAAAAAAAAAAGGAAGAAAATAACAAGCAAGCAGCCAACCCATATTTCATTGAAACCTCTAAATAGATGTGATGTGGTACTGATAAGAGAGTATATTTTGTGTATTTAAAATGGAGAGTTCTATAAATGTTAATTAAGCTTACTTGTTCTGGATCTGAGTTCAAATCCTGGATATCGTTAATTTTCTGTCTCATTGATCTGTCTAATATTGATGTTGAAGTCTCCCACTATTATTGTGTGGGAGTCTAAGTCTCTTTATAAGTCTTATATATCTGGGTATTCCTGTATTGGGTGCGTATATATTTAGGATCTTTAGCTCTTCTTGTTGCATTGATCCTTTTACCATTATGTAATATCCTTCTTTGCTTCTTTCGATCTTTGTTGCTTTAAAGCAACTCCTGCTTTTTATTTATTTATTTTTGCTCTCCATTTGGTTGGTAAATCTTTCTCCATCCCTTTGTTTTGAGTCTGTGTATCCTTGCATATGAGATGGATCTGGATGCAGCATACCGATGAGTTTTGGCTTTTTTTGCCTGTCTGTGTCTTTGGATTGGGGGATTTAGTCGATTTAAATTTAGAATTAATAATAATATATGTGAGTTTAATACTGCCATTTAATGTTAGCTGGCTGTTTTGCCTATTAGTTGATGTAAATTCTTGATTATGTTCATGCTGTTTACTTTTTGGTATTTTTTAGAAAGGCTGATACTGGTTGTTCCTTTCTATTTGTAGTGGTTCTTTCAGAAGCTCTTGTAAAGCAGGCCTGGTGGTGATGAAATCTCTGAGTGCTTGCTTGTTCACAAAAGATTTTATTTTTCCTTCGCTTATGAAGCTTAGTTTGGCTGGATGTAAAATTCTGGGTTGAAAGTTCTTTCCTTTAAGGGTGTTGAATATTGGCCCCCACTCTCTTCTAGCTTGTAGAGCTTCTGCTGAGAGATCTGCTGTGAGTCTGATAGGCTTCCCTTTATGGGTAACCTGAACTTTCTCTGTGGCTGCCCTCAGTATTTTCTCCTTCATTTCAACCCTGGTGAATCTGGCAATTATGTGCCTTGAGGTTGGTCTTCTTGAGGAATATCTTTGTGGTGTTCTCTGTATTACCTGGAGTTAAATATTGTCCTGCCTTGCTAGGTTGGGAAAGTTTTCCTGAATAATATCCTGAAGCATACTTTCCAGCTTGGATTGATTCCTTTCGTCACATTCAGGTACACCTATCAAGCGTAGATTAGGTCTTTTCACATAGTCCCATATTTCTTGGAGACTTTGCTCATTCCTTTTTATCCTTTTTTCTCTAATCTTGTCTTCTTGTTTTATTTCATTAAGTTGGTCTTCAACCTCTGATATCTTTTCTTCTGCTTATCAATTTGGCTGTTAAAACTTGTGCATACTTCATGAAGTTCTCGTGTTGTGTTTTTCAGCTCCATTAATTCACTTATATTCCTCTCTAAATTGTGTGTTATTGTTAACATTTCGTCAAACTTTTTTTCAAAGTTCTTAGTTGCTTTGCATTGGGTTAGAACAAGTTCTTTTAATTCCCAGAAGCTTCTTATCATCCACCTTTTGAAGGCTGCTTCTGTTAATGGAACACACTGGTTCTCCATCAGGCCTTGTTCCGTTGCTGATGAGGAACTGTGATCCCCTGTAGATGGAGAGGCGTTCTGATTTTGGGTATTCTCAGCCTTTTTAGGCATTTTCTTCCCTTCATTATACATTTATCCATCTGTGGTCTTTATAATTACCGTCTTTATAATTGGGTTTCTGAGTGGACGTCCAACTTGTTGATTCCCAGCGCTAAAATCTGAGCAACCCACTGCGCCGGCCAAAACAGTGGCATTAAGATTGATGGTGCTTTTCTGACTCTGCACCAAGAACCACCGCACCAAGGCAGTGGAAAAATCGCCTCACCAGCCACAAGTGTCACGCTGGCGACCCATGGGGCTCCTCCGCTGGGAATCTCCTGGTGCGTGAGCAACAAAAATTCATCTGAAAGTGTGGCGTCCTCTCGTTCTCTGCGCTTCCACTGGGAGCTACAATCCCGAGCTGCTAGTGATCAGCCAGCTTGGATCTCTCTCCCATTTTTTTAAATGTTTTTTTTATTTTAGAATCAGGGTCTCACTCTGTTAGTCAGGCTGGAGTGCAGTGGTTTGACATAGCTCACTGTAACCTTGAACTTCTCCCAAGATAAAGCAATCTTCCCACCTGACCTCCCAAAGTGTTGGGACTACAGGCACAAGTCACTGCCCCGGCCATGTATGTTCCTATGTTGTTGTTTTTTTAAAAAAAAAAAAGATAAATTAGGACTTTTGCTTCTGGACAAGATGAGTAATAGGAACTGAATTTGCCCTCAAGCCTGAATCAACTAAAAAATTGGACAAAATATATGAAACAATGGTTTTCAGGCACCAGACATGAAGTAGCACTGGACAGTCACCTCTGGGAGAGTGAAAACAAACATGAGCCCTTGTTTGCTGCCTGGTGAGACGGTCTAGACTAAAGCAAAAGAAGGAAACACATTCAGAGACCAAAGTCTCCCTGGTGGAAGAGATGAAGTTGGGCGTCCCGGCAGCCAAGTCCGTGAAACTACCCAGGTATAGGGAGAAAAGATACACAGAGAGAGAGGGTTCACATCCACAGATGTGAAGGGTTCCTCTTGAATCTTCACCTGAGTACTGATCAATGCTTGGGAATAAATCAAAGAGGAAAGGACCACCAAAAATGGGCAAGGAGATCAAATCCTGGCACTCACATGGCACTGGGAATGATCGGTGTGCCCACCAGAAAAAAAGCCTTTCATGGGGTATTCGGTAAAATACGCAGAAGAGGATGGCTTCAGCAGCGAGGCAAAATTCACCATAGACTAAAGGCTGCTCAGATCAAACATCTTTTAAAGTATCAAATTGTTTTCAAGTAACTGAACTGTATCCCAGAACAAAGCTCAAGAATATTTACAAGAATGTAAAAATGGTCAACATCCATCAAGGTCAAATTCAGTATCTGGCATCCAACAAAAAAACTACCAGGTATGCCAAGGAGCAGGAAAATAACAGCACATAATAAGGAGAAAAGTCAATTAATAAAAACAGACCCAGAAATGACACTGATGTTATAATTAAACAGACCAGTGATGAAGAGGAAAATCTTAAAAGCAGCCAGAGGAAAACAACACATTAAGTATAGAACAAGAGATAAAGACTTCTTTCAGAAACAATGCAAGCCAGCAGACAGTGGAACATCTTTACGGTAACTGAAAGCAATGAAAAAGTTTGTGAACCTAGAAATCTTGACCCAGTGAAAATATCTCTCAAAAATGATGGGAAAATAAAGACATTTTTCACACCTATGAAATCCAGAAAAACTCATCAAAGTGATCTGCACTAAAAAAAGGTGAAAGGAAGTCAGTCCTCCAAGGAGAAGGAAAATGATGCCAGATAAAAATCTAAAATATGCAAAAGAAGAAAGAAACTTAAAATGTTCATTTGTGTGTTTTTGAGACAGGATCTTATTCTGTTGCCTAGGCTGGAGTGCAGTGGCAGTCTTGGCTCACTGCAGCCTTGACCTTCTGGGCTCCACTGATCCTCCCACCTCAGCTTCCCGAGTAGCTGGGACCACAGGCATACACCACCATGCCCGGCCAATTTTTTTATTTTTAATAGAGA